CAGCCATGCTGGCTGGGGAATTCTGGGAGTTGAAGTCCACTCATCTTAAAGTGGCCAGGTTTGGACAACACTGGTGTATGGGAACCGGCAGCTTACTTTCAGCGGAATGTAAGCAAAGTTGAATGTGAGCAAATTACATTTTAATTAGCTCCAATGCATATAGGGTAGACACACACATACACACCAAGTCAACATTTAATTATGCCTTATATCATCATCAGGAGACAAAGCAAAGGGTAGAATTTCAGCAAAGCAATTTCATCAATTAACCCTAGAAACTATAACCTTGCATATCTAGCCATTATTCAACAATATGATTCCAATTTTTTGGAAAATTACCTGAAAATAAGAATGAATGGCTGCATTATATACAAAGAAGTACATGAAACTGAAAGACCTGAGCAATGAAAAGAAAAACAAGACTCCATGCCATAATAATAATAATAATAATAATAATAATAATAATAGTAGTAGTAGTAGTAGTAGTAGTAGTAGTAATACAGGTAGTCCTGGGGTTACGATGGCAATTGGGACTGGAATTTCTATTGCTAAGCGATGCAGCCATAAAGCACAATGTCATGTGACCACCTCACTTAGCGATGGCAATTCCAGCAGTTCCAGCTGCCTACATAACCTGAGGACTGTGCAGGTCATTAAACAAAGATCTCATGTGATCATGACTTCCAATTTCTTGCTGGCTTCTTCATTGATTTCATTTGTGGGAACTGGCATGGAATGCCAGAAATCACAATCACGTGACCACAGCTTGCTCCGACATCGTAATCATAAGCCAGGCACCAAGTGCCTGGATTTTGGTCATGTGACTGCAGGGATGCTGAGATGACTGGAACTCCAAGGATCAGTCATAAGTACCATTCATTTAGTGCCATTGTAACTTTGGTCACTGAACAAACGATCGTAACCTGAGGACTATCTGTAATAATAACAGCAACAACAACAGCAAATTTAGAACATTGAAGAAATGACCATTTGTTTAATAGTATATAGAATCAGGTGTTTTAAAAAAATGAAATATTTGTTAGGATAATGTTTATATATTGAATAAAAAGTCAATTTCTGAAAATAAGATGAAAAGAATTGATGGATGAATAGACCACAAAGAAGGATAAATAGTATTTCATCAAAGGACCTAAATTATAAACAAGAAGAAAGATCAAAGAAAGATCTAAGTGGAAAAGATGTAACAAAATTAAAATGTAGCACATCGTCATTATATATTTACATTGGGGAAAAGCAATTAGAAATAGTTAGAAAATAAATGGTAGGTGTTTCTGTCTGATAAAATGCAAATACAAACATGAAAATTCTTACAGTACTATTTAAAACAGTGAAAATTATTTCATAAATAGATGGAAAGCAATTTATTACAGCAAGAATCAGATATGTATAATTAAGGGATTGATAAGAAGCAGTTCAAAAAGCAAAAGAAGGATTCTTACTTTTCCTTCTCCAAAAGTGAGAGTAAAACAAGAAAATACCAACAAAGAAAATAGTAGTGCTGGTTCAAACTAATTCAGCTAGTATTAAATATCAGGAAGGTATGGGTTGGATCAATCCTATTTAAAATGTCAATTCAGTTTGGATATCAAATCAATCTGATTTAAAAAATTAAATAATATAATCTGTGTTGATGCTATTTGGATGTCTGAATCAGATAGTGAAATTGAATGATCTTACTGGGAAATCAGTTCAACTGGGGGAGAAAAAAGACTGTCTGCAGATGCAGAATTGAGTAATTGGATCAACTCAGAGACAATAAATTCATTTTAACAATTTGATCTAATTCAACAATGTGATTTAGAAAGTTGGTTCAATTCAGAGATGTAACCAATTCATCTTCACATCAAATCACAGCCTCAAAAATATAAATCAGTACACAGTGACAGGTGAATGGCGGGGAGGGGGGGAAGCCTTATATCTTGTGCTAGCTCTCTGTTGTTTCCCTATGTTGCCTTTGCAATTGTCTTTGTCACATCCCAGTTTCTCCCACAGATCCTCCAATCCTCCAAAGAAGGATTTTGGGATTACATCAGGGAATTTATGCAGGAAAGGGAGGGTAGCCCCCTGGCACAGCACATAAATTCCACAAGCTCTGGAAGCCCCACAAAACAAAAATAAGAGCAATTTAAACATAGCACAAAACTGAACAGCAAACAGAGTAAGGAATTCATGGTAAAAAAAAAAATTACAAAACAAAATAAAATCACCACAACAGCTTACTATGACTTATAAACTTTTCAGAGAGACAGCAAAGGGTGACCTTGTTCATCTGTCACAGGTGTTTGGCAAATATGGAACAGTCACTATAAAATCTTTGCTTTGTGTCACACTTGCATAAATACTATCAGTCTAGCCTGTGAGTGTATCAGTTCAATCAGGTAAGAGAGTCTTTAATGTTGGAAGTTCCCAGATTCTGCAATGGACAATCTGTGGAAGTGGTAGAGCAAACTTTCAATGTAATTCTTGGACTTTATTTGGAAAGCAGGTCACTGTGTTTTGCGGCAATGGAAGTTGCCACATCATCTTCAGGTGTAGCATAGTCCCATGTTCCATACAAGCCCAGACTGTCACCTTAATGGATACATGTAATGTTTTCTATCAATCCTGAGCTTATGATCTCCTCAATAAAGCACATGGTGCAGCAAATTATTTCTTCAACTATACAGCCACAAGGAAGAACTTCCACAACTTCTTCATCCATAAGGATGCTTCATGTACCAGAAAACCCCAATCATGTTTTTTTTTCCCCCTTAACTTCTTTGAGCTATCAATAGTACCATTAAGCAGTACCACCAAATTCATTTTGAGCAATGTCAAAGAGGAGTGGTGCATGAAGTAACACATAATGAGA